GACTTGCAGTTTACTTCCTATGACATTTGGATGAATAACAAATACTTGCAAATGATGGGTGTCTGTACAGCCTAGTCAGATGCAGGTGCCAGCAGGTTTATGCAAACCTTTTATTATTTGTAGCCAACATCTGCATGCACACATTTATTCATGATCCCAACATTAGAGCACATAAATCTTAGTTTACTTTATTTACCTTTGAATTCACAACATGCATAACAATAAAATATTCAACAAATATGAAACAGTGATAAGAATATTAATCAATGGTAACAAGAGAAGAGAAAAAGATGGAAAGTTGGGGGATGCTGTAAGTAAATTTGGGTCAAGCTATCAGCAATTGTTCAAAAAATTACATTTTGGGCATTGAGAAAAGGCCCACAGGGAGATAAAGAGCTGATGACATTAGTCTAAGTCCCCAAAACTAAGCAGAGAACCGGTAAGAGAGTAAAAAGGAAGCTTCTCAGTCATTACCATATTTTACAGTACCAAAGTGCTTGTTTTCTGCTATACAATGCAGAATTCGATAAGCAAAGTGAAGTTATTTTAATATGATGACTGTCATTTTTAGAAAGCCATCAGAGCTGTTTCCTGACTTTTAAAGTTGTAAATTTGTTGGCCTTTATACCTATTTGTTTTTCATAACTGTTAACACATGCATCAAATTTTTAATTATTACAGTTGTTTTTTAAAGAAAGAGAAAATCTAAGTGACACAGACTTTTGTTCTATACCTTACCTTTTTCTATACCTTACTGAGAATGAAACCCCATAAGCTTTTCTGCATAATGTATAGCATGCATGTATTTAACACACCAGGGATTCTTAAAATATTGTTTAAACCAATGCAATCCAAAATGAGTTAGGTAGGAGTGTCCGGTAGAGTGTGAGATGACAAATTTGAAAGTCCAGATAATTTTAAACTTGAAATTTAGTGGCTTAAAAGGTTCTAATTATAAATTAATCTCTATTTGTAACACCAAGTCTCACATGATTATGAAGGACTTCAGGGTAAGAACAGCTTTACCTTTCCTTTCCCTGTCTTACTCATTTCCCATTATTTATTATTTCTTATTACTTCACTTTTCCTGTCACACTGCTATTAATAACTATGTGATTTGTTTAGTACACCAAAATACTCAACCTTTGGTTCTACTTTCATATAAAGACTACTTGTGCTATCAAAATTATGAGTAATTTGAAAAAATGGTAGGAAGAAATTTGTTCCACCAAAGATTTTGATTTGGACACAAATAATGATAAACATGCTCTTTGACTCAGTTCAGTTTCACTTCAAAACAGTAGAAAAAGGAACAAGCTGATTTCTGACCACTAGGTGGAGAAACAATACAATAATAAATTATGTTTTAAACTCATTGTTATTTTGGCCTCAACGGCTTTAGTTAAAACAGTATTTTTTTCTAATTTTCACCTCCCTCCAATCTTTTACCATTGAAGGCATCATGATCTGAATGATAAATTTGCAAATGAATCCTAGAAAGTATTGCAGGTAATGAAGGCTATCTTTGCTCCTGGAATTCTTTCTTGACACCAATTATAAATTGGTTTCCTTACCTCAAATAATACAGAGACTCTTCACCTAAGGGATAACTGTGAATTTTATCAGTCATTTGCAGAAATCAGTGTCTCTCCTACACATGGGATCCTTATTATTCTAGTACTTGATTCCAAATATTTTCCTTTTCTCAGTCATTGTCTCACCTTTTTACTGGCTCCTTCACATCAACATGCAAATCTACTGTTACTCCCATGAAAAAGAAACTTTAGGGCCCTCCCTGGTGGCACAGCAGGTTAAAGCACAGCACTGAGAATCTAAAGCCGCTTCCACATGAGTTCGATCCCCGCCTGCCCTGGAGGAGATCTACATGGCGAGGCAGACCTCTCCTGACCCGCCGCTGCTCCCCTCAGCAGTGTATTCGTTGATATGCCTGTTCTGCTCCCCACTCTGTCTCTTGTGAATCTCTCACCATCCGCATCTCTGGCCTGTACCCCAGTTCTGTACGAATAAAGAAATCAAAAAAAAGAAAAGAAACTTTACTCCTTTCTCCTCACTAATCACTGCACCATCTCTTTCTTCCCTTTTCTCCAGAAAGAGTTGTCTATTGACCTTTTGTATGGTGAAGGACAAAAGTGGACTTCAGGGATGATCTCAATGCAATATTTACAGACATTGACTTACAATGATATATACTTGAAATTCATAAAAAGTATTGCAAAGTTGCTTCAATACATTTTTTCAAAAAACATCAATTCTTGCTCTTTTCTATTCTCTGCCTTCCATGCTCTTTTAAAACAATTTTAGTCTGGCTTGTACACGCACCACTCTGGAGCATTTCACCAATTCTGCTCCCCACTATCCTTATTTATGTTGCCTTCAGCAGCACCTGACAGGTGTTTATTGCCACCTCTGGGAAATTCTGTATTTTTTTGGCTTCCAGGACATCCTTCTCCTGTTTCCCCCCTACTCCTCCCAGGGGAGGTTGTTTCCTTTTACTCTCCTTTGCTGAGCTTTCTTCTCTGGAATCCAGTAGAGTCAGAGTGCCCAGTTCTCAATTTCTCTCTTTTCCCTCTACACTTACTTCCCTGGTGATCCTACCAGTCTCAAGACTTTTAAGTGTGGAATATTTGCCTATGACCCACAAGTTTGTATTTTTAACCCAGTTCTCTTACCCCAACTCCTCAGTATTTAAACACACTTGCCTCCTTGATATCTGCTTGGAGGTTTAAGAGACACCCCAGACTTCACATGACCATGCCAGCTCTGTCTTCTCACCCCTAAACCTCATCTTCAGCTTCCCCAATTCAACTAATGGAAATATTTTCCTTCCAGTGCTCAGGCCAAAGGTCTGAGTGCCATCTTTGACCCTTTTCCTTTCACACCTGAAATTCAAATACTCTTTTCTTTGCCTTCAAAATGTATCCTGGATCCAAACTCCTCACTCCATCACCCCTGCTACCATCCTGGTGAAAGTCACTTCCAAATCTTGCTTGAATTTCTGCAATACTTACCTAACTGCTTCAACATTTGCTCACAACAGCTTTTCAACACAACTGTGAAGCCGTGATTTATAGACTGTAAGTCAGAAAGCATCACCATTTTGCGCAAACTCTTATAGTGACTCCCCTACCACTGAGATTTAGAGCCACAGTCTCCATCACGCCCCACAGGCCCTGCCTGGGCTGACTCTTCAGTGCCTCCTTCCTTGCTCACTTGATTGCAGCCCTCACTCACTCTAGTCCTTAACCACCTGCATGCAACCTTTGCTCTATCTTTTTCTCTTCTTAGAATGGTCTTCCTCTAGATGTCTGCAGGCCTAGCTCCTTCACTTCCTTGAGTTTTCACTCGAGTATATCTTCCTGTGAAAGGAGCCACCCTCACTTCTGCTTAAAGTTGTAACATGCTGTCCCCAAGCTCCTCCTCCCTCTACTCCAGCCAGCCCTGTTTTGTTTCATCCCCCAAACTACACATTTCCTCACATAGTGTGTCCATCAATTGTGTACTATCTTCCTCCCTTGTGTCTCTTGCCTCTGTTTTATGGGGGCAAGAATCTTTGTCTTCTTCACTGATAGTGCCTGACCCCCTCTTACAAAGGCACAAAAGAGGGGTTCAAAAACAGCTATCACGTGACTACAAAACAATAAATCAGCCCTTGCCCCAAGAGGGCCTTTGATAAGAGAGATAGACAGAACCCGCAGCTGACAGAGGTGTCCCTGGGACAGGCCGATGTCCATGTTTTCAAGAGTGAAGGCAGGAGGAAAAAGAAAAGCACTGAACACCTATTTTTCATGATTTTACTAGAAGATTATCCCAGGAGATCTCCTCTTATATAAAATATAAAAACCATGGGCGTGAAAATCAAGACACATTTTACTTTCACTTCCTCTTGTGTCTTATCTAACTTCCCTACCTGGAGGAAAGTTTTAAACCCCACTATTGCTCCATTTTGGAATTTACTTGAACTCTGCAGTGAGAGCTTCAAAGTCTTTGACCACACACCACATTTTCACTTTTGAAAATACAATGGAAACCATCAAATGCCAACGATGGATCAGTGGACAAAGAGGATGTGGTGTGTGTACATAATGGGATACAACTCAGCTATATAAAAACAGATGAAATCCTGCCATTTGTGACCACATGGAAGTAGAGGGGAGTATATTTAGCAAAACAAGTCAGAAAGAAAAATGCTGGAGGATTTCATTCCTATGTGGATTATAAAAAACCAGAGCAAAGGAACAGAAAAACCAAGCCAAATTGTGACCACAGTACTGAGGTTACCAGTAGGGAAAGGTGAGAACCAAATGTGAAGGAGGGGTTCAGTAGACTGTGGGAGAGGGTTACTGGTACTTTGGCATGAGATAAAGCGTGGTAATTAACATTTTACGAGGTGTGAACCTGTATTTCTAAAATATATACTGCAATGCAAAACAGCGTTACTACAATTAAAAGAGAGAGGAGGGAAGAAGGGAAGAAATTATCTATCTAGGTAAAATATAAATCCTTCCTTGGAGTGAATTTACCTGGGAAGGAGCCTTATTAGGGGAGAACTATATTTAATACATATGAATGCAAAAGATCTACACAGAAATCAGTTGGATTTAAGAACATGTGTTCATAACATTCCTGCTTGGTAGCTGGATATCATAGGGTATTAGATTATTGGAATTAATAAATTCAAATCTGTGGAAAGGCATGTCATTAACATGAACGCACAAAGCAGGCTATATAGATAATAGCCACAGGCTACATCTCTATCACTTTACAGTTAAATTGTCTTTAAACTGTCAAAGTGCAACTATAAATTCAAACCTATTATTGAAAGAAGACACAATCAACATAGTGCTAGCTACACATGACATATGTGATTTATTGAATCAGCTATACCAGTAAATTACAGATAAAGAGTTGATACATAGCAATCTATATAGTCTGGTTATTTCTAAAAGTCACTGATTAAGAAAATTTAAGAAAGAGTAGGCTTGCATAAAAGTATGCTGGGTTTTAAACACACAACGAAAAATCTAAAGGATGACAGAAGACCTTATTGTCTTTACATTTTTACTTTATATTCTGGTGTGATTTTGGAGAAGACAGTCTCTGTAAAGTTCTATGTCTTCATCTGTGAAATGATGATAACATCATCCATTTGAAAAGAATGTAAGGATTATATATTTAAAGTACCATCATAACCAGTCTGTAAACCATGGTGGTAGAGTTGATGGTATTGGTGGTGTGAGAATGTTAATACTGGTGATAGCATGAGAATGTGGTAATGGTGGACAAGATGGTAGCAATACTAACTTGAAGAATGTTTCAGAACTTTTTAAAAGTCAGTGCAAGCTTTCTTTCAATGAACTCTTATAGGGAAGACCAATTTAGGACCAAGTAAGTAAACGTTGCTCAGATTTAAGGAGTGGAGGGTATAAAAACATTCTGCTCAGCAATCCCTACTTCCTTGCCAATGGCCCACCTTTGTGACCCCAGCAGTTTACAGTGGAACCTTCAGCATTCAGTCAAGCACAAAGATCACAAAGAAATGACAAAATAAATTTTGCTTACTTTAGATCTAGCGGGGGTTTAATATTTCTGGGAGGTAGACTTGGGACTGGTGGAGGTTGTGCTGGATGAGATGCTGGCAATGGCGGCTGGCTGGGTGGATGGGATGGAGGAGGTGGTGGTAGGGAAGATGTCGAGTAAGATGCTGGGCCTTTGCTGATACCTAAAAAGCAAAGCAAAAAATACCATAGATTAGGGTAAATACTCACAATATAAGAACTGGTTGTTCCAAGTATAGAGAAATGAAGATCTTAAAAATGAAAATATACGAAATGCAGCTGAAGTTGAATTAGTGCTTTACTCTATGCATCATTGGCATGTGATATTTTATATACTCTCTTTCTCCTCCCCTATCTTTAATGAAGAAAAATTGAATAATAAAATTATAAGAATTTTGAAGTATTTAATATGGTCATTAAACATAAGTACAAATTATGCTTAATGAAACATTTAAGTTATGTTCGGTGGGAACATTTAACTTCTCTGCATTTGAAAAATTTCAGTTATACAATAGCAACTAGAGTGACCATGTGTCCCACCAGATAACTCAGACCTAGTTAATCTTATAAGTCAAACTTCATGACTTTTATCAACCCCTTCCTGTTATCCCTATCTACAGTCCTTGTAACTTCATTGATACTGTTTCTATGAGTTTTACTTAAAAAAATTGGCTTCCACATAAAAGTGATACAACATGGTATTTGTTTTTCTCTGTTTAGCTTATGTCATTTAACAGAATGGCCTCTTAGATTATCTATGTTGTTGGAAAATACAGGATTTCCATTTTTTTAAAATAAGGCTGAATAATATTCTGTTGCATACATACTCATATGTTACTGAATAGTATTTTGGTCAAAGATAGACATTCAATGGTGTCCCTATGGACTATAACAGATAGCGTAGATCGGGAACTGTATATTTGCCATTATATTTTGAATCTCTGACAATATTATATCAAAAATTCTTAATTATTATTTTAATTTAATTTTTATAAAAATAAATTAAGCTCGGCCCTCCCTGGTGGTGCAGCAGGTTAAAGCACAGCACTAAGAAGCTAAAGCATGAGTTCCATCCCCACCCCGGAGGTGACCCACACGGCACAGCAGACCTCTCCTGACCCACCCACTGCTCCCCACAGCAGTGTACTTTGTTGATCTGCCTGTTCTGCTCCCTCTCTGTCTCTGGTGAATTCTCTCGCCACCCCTGCACCGCTGGCCTGTACCCCAGTTTTGTATGCATAAATAAATCTTTAAAAAAAATAAAAGCTCAAAAATTACCAAGATAGTGACAGAATAAAAATTAGTAGTCTTCCGCTTTCCCCATTGGAGGCAGTCACTTTTGACATTTCTGTTTCTTTTGTATTTACCTCCAAATCCACCATCCATCCATCCATCCTTCTCTATATCTATCTGTGTATCTGTCCATGATGTTATGAAGACTGACTTTCTATTTGGTAGAAAAAGGTTTTTGTTTTCTTCCCCTTCTCTTTCCAGTTAGCAAAAGCATAACTTAGCTCATAAAAACCTCCTTTTTAAGAATCAGATCCTTCAACTCTCACAAAGACAAATTAAGTCTGAAAATTGGGCTCTTTGTCTCTGGCTTCTATTTGCCCACACCAAACAAACAACACCTTCAGCAGCAACTCTTTAAGTTCCTCAATTATGTTAACCAATAAAACCTTTAGAAATCTTCAAAACCTTAAAGGAAATATAGCTCTTCACTATAAATCTCCTTAGAGGCTCAATGGCAGAGTTTTAAATGAAATGTTACACAAAAGTTTCCTAATTCTTTGCAGATATTTCTACTTCTTTCCAAAGTTCTTTACTTACAGTAATTGCTAAAAATATCACTCTCTCTCCTCATGTGCTTCCCTCACTATAACAATCTTCTTCTGGGAGTTTTAAAAATTGCTCAGACTGTCTCCCGCCTTGTGACACACCCTCCTAGCTGCAGTTCTCACAGGAATAGAGTGTCTTTCTTTTTTTGGTATCTAATTTTTTCAGGGTTGAGGTAGAGAACATTCATTTCCATATAAATCTAATAAATAGAAATTTCTAATAGATTACATTTATTGTAGACATATTATCTCCAGTTCATTATTTGTTAAGAGTAAGATTTCATTTTATATATGTAGCCTTTTTGCTGCATATGCCATTTTTCTCTAATTCAGTCAATGATTTCTTTTATGGATATCTATCACTAGAGTTATATTTAGGGAGGCCTTCCCTAATCTGAAATAGAGAAGTATTTATCTAGCATTTCACCTATTTCTTGTTAGCTTCATTTTCTACATTTAACTGCTAAACCTCTTTGCCATTGATTTTGAAGTTAGATGTGAGATGGTTTAAATCATATAACAATGTCCAGCTGTATTTTTTCCCTAATAAGCTATTTACTAATTTGAATTATCTTTTAGAGTAATAAACATTTAAATTATTGTGAATTTAACAGATGAAAATGATATCTTGTAATTTTAGCTTATAAATAATATGCCTTGATAGATTCTGAAGTACAACAATTTGAAAGTTGTACACAAAGAAGGTAAGCAACTGTGAGTAAATGTTCATAAACCATTGTTCAACAAAAGGAAAAATGCATTTTAGCCGTCTATGATGTCTTTTCAAGGAAAAGATTTTGACAAGTAGGAGGAATACCACATGAGAGTGATGTGAGGCTTGGGGACGAGACATGGCCATGACTTGAAGAATGAAGAGTCCTTTGACTGGATACACTGAGCATGGACTTGCCCTGCAACCCACACGCCACCTTTTCATCTTCATGGAAACTTGCTGGAACTTTCTGATGCAGCACCCGTGCTGACCCTTGATGTTCTGTGTGCCTGCCACCTGTCCTCCTTTCCTTGGGCATAATAAATGAAGCCACCCAGAAAGAGGCCCCCTAGCTTTTTCATAGGCCTTGGAAATCAAAAGGGTCCTTCTGGAACTGCTGGAGGCTACCTCCCTCCTCTCAAGGAAGGGCTTACGTCAGAGTGCAGCAACATCCAGGAAAGGCAGGCTGAGAGATACAATGACTCCTTAGATTGAAAAGAAAAAATACTTTTGGAAAATTGTCACAAATAATGTGAAAAGCTTAATGAAGTATTAAATAAATTGCTTACATGTCATGTTCCTCATCAAGGTTGGGAGAACAGTCATTAAATTTTGCCTAGGTTATACTAATACTTAGCAGGGAATCATTTTGCTTTATAAAACTTATGGTCACCTTCAAATATTACAAGGCACAAAATTACACATATACAAGATAATGATAAAGAACAACATCTTAGTTTTTCAGGTATAAAAACACAGAGTTGTAACACATTTGACTCTGGAATCTTAATTAAATTAAGTATACTTTAGAAAGTATACTAAAATATTATTAGTAATATGGGAATTCACAAAGGCAAACATCTAATCTGTGGGCTGGAAAGAAGGGAGTGGATGTTATATTAAATTAAGAAGAGTACAATAACTTTATAGGAAATTTCTGAGATTAATGATAACATGAATTAATCACATACTTTTTTTTTATGAGGCTCCATCCTGGGTATTTTACACATACAACATTTTTAAGTCTTTATAATAACCCTTTTGGCTCTGTGCTATTAACTAGTTCCCATTCCCAAGTTCAGAAAGTCTGTAAACAATAAGCAGAATTTAAACTCAATCAGAACATGACCTGCTTGACTTCTGATGTCTATGCTCTTTTGCTCTGTTCTGTTTGTGTTCTCAGGGTAATGAAATGAAGATACTGGTAAGCTCAAATAGACATCCACACACATTCCTAGATTTGCTTGTAAGTCCAGCCTTCTTAACTGGTAACTTTCTTCTTAGTATGCTCTTGTACAACTCTGTGAATTTCATGCTAGGGAGAATGCCTCTGGAGATTGTTATCTGTAAATGAATTTACACATATGCTTCAGAAAGTGAATTTGGAAATCAGAGCACAGGAAAGTAAATACTGAGGAATTAGTGGAAAGTAGGCCCCCAAAGATCGATGCTTGAAGCCGTCCCAGAGAGGGAAAAAAAAAGTCTCAAGAACTGGCACTGAGGAATTTGAATTAAAGTCACAGAATGTTTTAGATATATGAAATAATGTAGTGGGAAAGAAGCAAGTTTGGAGGTCAGTTGGCAAACTGAGCATTAACAATCTAAACTGATGTACCTGTGGGTTTTATGCCTTTATGCCCTAAGACTCAGAGGGTATTGCCTAGATGGCCTATGGTTTTAAAATATTGGGACTGAAAAGATGACTTAGAGCTATTTCCTCAAAGAATGAAAGACTCATGCGGGCACATGGGTTCTCATAGCAATGGACAGAGCTACGGCTAATAACTTACTGTCACACTTATCCAAAGTCAAATCCAGGGAAATTCTGGGGCATTTTATCAGGAATTGAAGGCTTCGGGGAGGGGGTTGTAGCCATTTGGTAACAGTCAAGGGGGAGATCGACATATCTTTGCTTTTCATATTGAACTTTCACAAGAGAAGTAACGGTCTTGATAATTCAATTCTTAAACCATAAAAAAATGTGACTAATGGCAATAACAAAAGGGAACTTGGGTATTTGCTTTAGAGAACAATTCATACTGGTTACAAAAAAAAAAAAAATGGAGAGGGTTGGGAGTGAAGGGGAACATGAGCCTAGCTCTCAAGAATCTGGCAAGTGAACAACCTCCTATTTTAACTTTTCCTTCTTCTGATCTTGGGAGTTCAGAAGAGGTCTTGCATCAGTCATGTGCCCCTGGCCAGGCATGCCCGGATGGGTGGGCCTCTGGGGCCATTTTACCAGGAGGAAACGATTAGGAGGGGCCCTTTTATGAGTCAGAGGCTGCCTGGGGTGATCTGACTCTGCCCTACAGGTGGGTTGAGGTTTTGAAACACAGGCAACCCCAACTAGTGACATTCTTCACGATCATCAGGATCTAAAACTATAAGCTGAACAGGAATGAGAGAAAGAAAAGAAGGGTTGGGGATGATTAGAGCAGACAATGAGTAAAGGTGACAGTGGACACATACTAGAGTGGAATTTGTATTATTTCATGGCTTTGCACTTCAAATTTTTCTGCCAACCAAAACACTGATTCTAGCTGTTGTCATCATTCTAGTATAAAAGAATCTACAAAAACTCAGGAAATCCCGTCCCATAAATCTGACACTTGTG